GGTGAATCATGTAGGCATTTGCATATTCCTTATTACATGGCATCCTGCACCACCCTTAAAAGGGTCTCAGGCACCTTGCTGTGGCACCCTGGTTGAGAAACACTGATATAGCATCTTTACAGCATAGCAGTATTTTCTACTCCAAAGAAGAGAGTGTGGCTTTTCTTTGGTTAATAATTCCACAATTAACCAGAAGCAGCTGGTTAATTATGGAATCGTAGAGTTGCAATAAACCTAGAATCACAGGTTCATCATGGGTTATGCTGTCCAACCCTTGGCTTGGATCATTTATCAGATCTGCCTTTCACGTGCGTTAGTGGAGCAGAAAGAATTCTAAGGGGGCAGCGTTTGCTTTCACTTGCAATGTAACTGTACCATGATCTGGAATATAGTAAATCTATTTAAATCTATTGATTTAAATCAGGCTGTTCAAGTGGAGCTAAATTTTAGCCACTGGGTTACCACCTAGCTGCCACTTCCCCTGTTGCTCTGGCTGCAACAGCTTCTGCATTCTGTGCATGCCCCAGGGCAGTGAAGCCTGGCATGGCATTGGCATGCCATGGCACAAGGAGCTCAGCATGAAGTGGTAGTGGAGGGCAGCCACACAAGTGTGTGCTGCAGCAGTGGAGGTGCCATCCATGTATGGTCTTTGCAGCGGTGGAAGGGGTTGCCCATGTGGGTGAATCAGGGGTGGGGAGGGGTACAGGTGCAAGGTGTTGGGGAGGCATCCATGAGGCATGAGCCCTCTGCTGGTGTGGTCTATGGGGTGTGCTGGTCCCAGCTGCTTAGAAGCTGGAGAGCCCTGACTTAAATAGTTTTTTTCTAATTTTAATGAATTAGACTCCCACTGCAGAAATGAGTCTCAGTATAACCCATTTTCCATGGAAGCATTTTGGGAAAAACAATATTGAAATAATTATTACACAAAGTGTTCCCCTCAAAATGTGCTGGGAAACAAAAGGTAACCCAGCTGGCAGGAGATAAGGAGAATTTTTATGTATATAGCTAAAGTTTCATTACTTGAAGAGTCAGGTGCTTATAAAGTACTTTTTTGGTGGTCTTACACAGGGAAGTCATTTTTATTCACAGTCTGTGCTAATTTGCAGGTGTAGTACCTACTGCAGGTAAGAGAGACCCTGAAGGAGCTGAATGATGTTTACCAAGCTATGTTCAATAGGACTGAGTTCTCCAGCATCCAATATCTTAAGAAACAATGAGTAATTCTGGAAGAATGAGAGACATTTGTTTGAATTCATAGAAATGAATCATTTTACATTGTTAATGCTATTCTGAATAAAAATACAATGTCACTTTGGCATAATTACCTTTTCTTAGCAGTGAGCTCCTATAGTGGAATGTGCCTTTTCTTCTGTACATTCAGCAACTTTTTCCCCCCTGAAACTGTATATTTATAATCCTTCACTTTTATTCCCTTTATATTTAAACCACTATGCCAAGCCTGTGTGAAAGTGTTAAGCACCCTAATGATTAATTGTGTGGCTATCATTAGAAGTCATATATATGAAAGAAATTAAGTCAGTCAAGACGGTAAATCAAACCAACAAAAGGCCCTTCTCATGTCCAGAAACTTAGTTTCAGCCTTTGCATAGAATTTAGTGGGATAATCTCTGTTACTTTATCTCTGCAAGCTCCATCATCCCTGAGAAAAATGAGTGAAATTTCTCTTTCAACTTGTGGTTCAACCAATCATACTATCTTAAGCTGCTTCTTTTCTCTGTGTGCTTTTGCCTTACAGTATTAGTAGTGATGCTTCATTTTACATATATCTCTTGGCCTATTTATAATTATATTATTTAAAAGGGATTTTTTTGGTGATACAGGGCATGTCTACACATACACATTTATTGTGCAGTAATTTAGGTTATTGCACAGTAACCGAAAATCACTATGCAGTACAGGTACGCATCTACATGTGCACACCCATATTGTGCAGTAACTATGGCAACTTTTGCTGACTTGGGTGTAAATTTGACACCTGCATCATTCATGTATCAAATTTATGCCCAATTAGTTGCAGTAATGCATGGGTAAACACCTTACTGAGCAGTAATACTCTGTGTGTGGACTGACTTGGGACTAGCTTTAGTCCCAAGACAGTCCACACAGTGTTACTGCACTTTAACGGCTGCACATGTAGATGCCAGCCTAGAAATTGCTTACTGTGCAGTGCAGTAAATGCACATGTAGAACTGCCTGCACAATGGTATTTTGCTATTGATGTCTGACTTTAACTCATGATTTTTTCATGTGCAAGCATTTATTTCAAAGCTTGTTTTGCTAACTTGAACTGGCATCATTTGATCTTATTTTTAAGTACATCTTATTGCAAAGCTACTAGTCTAAATATTCATTTGTGGTGCAGTTTCTATTGCCTTACATAGTTTTCTTAACCATCTGATAGAATTAACTTATATGATCTTGCTTCATTACATATTTTATCTGTAACTCTATGCTGAATTGTTTATCGGTCTAAAGCTAGACATTTCTTAAGCATATACATTTTTTGATGGTTCCAGACGCAAGGAGCAAAACATGTGCTTTTGTCCTGTAATCACTTGCATTAATGTAAACAAGTTCAAGAAAGAACAAAAGTAAAAAGCATTGTGAAGTAGTCTGGGGATTTGACTTCTCTGCAGCAACTCTTCCTACTGGATGTAAACTATCTAGAATTTTTAGGAATCTAAAGTTGCAGTGTTCAAAAGGAAAAAAAAGGCATAGCTGAATATATGCCACACTATCTACAGTTTGCTGGTACTTAAGAAGTGAATTGCTTTTGCATGAATAGAAGCTTTCTTACAACTGACTGTACTGGGTTGCCTGCACAGAATAAATTGGATCATCTGTGAGGAGAAGGATTGTCAAGGGACAGGGTGCTTGCTGAAGATCTTAATCAATTCCTTACTTGGTCACAACTGTGACCTTCAACAAGTTTAATCTTGACTCATCTGAAGTCAATGGTAAAGCTCTCACTGATTTCTGGAGGGTCAGGATTTCACCCTTAGTCTCCATGCCTCAGTTTGATATCCATAAAGAAGGAACATAAGAACTTTACTACAAAAAACTTTTGGCCACAGGTTCTTCATGAAATTAGGCTGTCATATCACTAGAGCCAAGCTCTACATATGAATCAATAACTGGGTAAAGAATGAGAAACAAAAAGTAAGTATAAATGGTCATGTCATAAATGAGGAAGGTGTGCAGCAGGTCCCCTAGTGGTCTATGCTGAGGCATATGTTGTTTAATGTTATTTAAATGATAAATTATTTGAAAAGGGGCAGATGAGCACTGAAGCAGCCAGGTTTGCAGATGACACCAAATTATTCAGGCTGCTAAAAAATCAAGTCGGCTGGAGAAGGAGTTCATATAATTGACTGAATAATTAACAAAATGGAACCTGAAGTGTAATGCTGGTGATTGCAAAGTGATGCACATGGGAAAGGCTAACACACAACGCACATATGTAATGATGGGCTGTACTTAAGCTGTTACTACTCAAGAAGGAAATCTTGAAGTTATCATGGACAGTTGTCTGAAAATATCAGCTCAATGTTCAGTAACAGCCAAAGGAGCAAATAGATTGTTAGGAATTACAAAGAAGGGTTGAAAGCAACAGAAAATGTTACCATGCCACTGTATAATTGCATGGTATATGCATACCTGCAATAATGCTTAGAGTTTTGGTCCCCTCCACCTGCAAAAGGGTATGGTTGAACTGGGAAAGACACAGAGAAGGGCAATAAAAGATGGAGTGGCTTTTGTACCAGGAGAGACTAAATAGGTTAGCACTTTTCAGGGATACAACTGAAGTCTATAAAATAATCTTGTAGAGAAAGCAAATAGGAATTTACTATTTTCCATGTCTCTCAGTATCAGAAACAGGGGGCACGTAATTAAATTATGAGGAAGCAGGCAGGTCTGAAACAAACAAAAGGAAATTCTTCTTCATGTACGCTGTAATTAACTTGTAGAACTCCTTGCCACAAGATGTTGGAAAGAATGACAATGTAAGCAGGTTCAAAAGAGAGGATTAGACCTATTCACGTAGGATAAGTTCAGCAGTATATTAAGCATAATAGGGCAGTGTAACAGAGCACAAGATGCTCTGTTACCTACAGGGGCATAGGCAGCAGCCAGGAAGCCTACAGCTGGCTGTAATCCCAGCCTACAGCCTACAGCTGGCTGTAGTCTTGCAGGAGAGCCTGGATGCATTATGGAGCCCGGTGTAAGGCTCCAAGGGGAACGGGGCTTGGAGCCCTAGTCCTATTGTGAGGGGCTTGGGGGCCAGTGAGGGAGCCTTGGGCCCAGAGATATAGAGAGTGGGTGATGCCTGGGGCTGGGCCTTGGAGCCCGAGGATGGGGTAGGCTTGTAGCCCAGGGACAGGGCTTGGAACCTGAGGATGGGGCTTAGAGCCAGGAGAGGCTTGTGGCCCAGGGACGGGGCCTGAAGACAGAGGATGGGGCTTTTAGGCCCAGGGATGGGGTAGGGAGCCCAGTATATGTAGAGGTTTTGATGAGGCTGGGTGTTAGGCCATAATCGTGATGAGGTCTGGTGTTAGGCCAAGAAACATCTGTGAGGAATGGGACACATGAATGGGAGGTCGGAGTGTGTACAGAGGCCCTTGTCATCAGGGCAGGCAATGGGCAGCCTCCTGCCTGATTAATATCAAGTAATCAGAACATTAAGGTGTGGCAGGAGAGATGGGGAGGTGGCTAGCCCGGAAACAAATGAGCGGGCCTATATAGAGATCGGCCCCAGGATGCCCACTTGTTACAGGTAGCCACCATCAAATTTGGACACTTTGGGTGCATCAACACATTCATTAATACACAGTAGTTACTGTGCATTTAGTATAGTACTTCCTTAATGAAGTACTAACTAAATGTTCAGTAACTACAATTGCTGTGCAGTAGCACTGACACATGTTTTTTGTGATGATTACAGTGCAGTAGCCTAATAACACTGCACAGTAGCTTATTAGCATGTTTTTGACTGGCACGCTACTGCGCAGTGTTATTAGGCTATGACATAGTAAGGGGCTTGTGCAGATGTACCTTTTAAGTCTGTAAATGTTGGAAGCTACTGGGGAAGTGGGGTGGGGGACAGATCAGGCTGGTTAGACCCTGCATAAATATTCTCTCCCATAGCATCTGCTCTCTGCCACTTTGAGATGCAGGATATTGGGCTACATGGATCTGTTGTATTAACTCAGTATGGGATTTTTTGTCTGTGTGTAGAATAGCTATAAAATTGGACTTTTTTTCTTTTTCTTTTTGAGTGCTGCAAATCTTACTTACGTCTGGATTTTTAGGAATGATGCAGGAAAAACAGAAAAAAATGAAAGACTCCTTAAATAGCCTGGGAAAAGAAATACAAAAGATATAGATTAACAGAGCTGGGCTGAAAAAAAAAAATTCTGTTCCTTGGCATTTTTTAAAAATTTCCTCAGGTTTGGATTGTAAAAGAGAAATTTTGGTGAATTAAAAATGTTGTTTCTGGTCAATTGAAAGGTTCCACTAATTTCAAGCTTTTTTTTTTTTTTAAGATTAACATTCAAGGAAATTTTGAAAAGAAGTGTCATTTCACACTGACCAATCAAATGTTTCATTTTACATTACATATTTTTTACAAAATTTTATAAAAATTGTGAAATATTTGATAATTTTCTAAGTGAGAAATCAACATCCATGAGTACATTTTTAATGTTTCTTATCTGTATTTTTGCCAAAAACAGAAAATCTCTCAAACAATTTCATCCCTTTCTTAGTGAAATGGATATAATCTCATGTCACATCTATGATTTTAGTATTAAGATTTGGTACAAATAAAAAATATATTTTAAAAACAGCAGCATTCTTTCTAACACCTTAACTAGCTTGTGGGAAAGTTACCAAGAGACTGCAAAATAATCATGTCTATTCCAGTACGGTCATCATGGAAAGAGATGTTTTTCCTGCAGGCTGTTCTCACAGCAATGTGGTTACCACCATATGTCTGCTCAGCAAAACTTAAAATGTGAGATACCAGTTCTCAGTATACGTTTTAGGAAAAAACAACAACAGGTTTTTGTTTCAGTCTAACTACATGAATTGTTAGCTAGCGTGTCACAACATGTTGAGTCAGAGCTCAAGAAGGAAAACACTGTAGTAAGGCCAACAGAAGGGTCTTAAACTATAGCTCCACAGGACGCTCATGCCATTTGTGGGCTTAAGTTCTGTTCAACATGAGCTTCATTATTCATACGTTACTAACAAGCGTGGGGGGTTCTGTTGTTTTTTGTTACAGTTTTAGTTCTCTTATTTTCTGATCTGGCAGATGCCACTGCACACTCACATGACCTGGCTGGTAGCTATGTGATGCCATTTATATTTATGGGGAAGGTAAAGAGGAAGCAGAAGAGGAAGATAAGAGCCTGTGGCCTGTTGGGATAGGAGTGGGGAAAGAAGAGCTGGGATATTTGGGTGAAATAGGAATTTCAGCGTGGGGAGTAGGGCGGAGACAGTGATCTGTTAAGGAGTGGAAGGAATGAACAGGGTGGGTGACTGCTGAGCAACCTGTTCTTTTTCAGAGGGGAGGGAAGGAAGATGCCAAACAAGGCTGGAAAGGGTAGGTAGTAATGAGGGAGCAGCAAGAAAGGAGCTTTTGCAGGTGAATCCCTTTATTAAAGGAGTAGAGCCTTTCCATTGCTTTGATTTAGCAGTAAGAGAAGTGAGCTGGATTCAGGCTAGTACATCAACAGGTTGCAGAATCTCTAGGTAGGGGAAGTGAATCAAGGATTGGACCAAGACTTGGAAGACCCGGGCTTTATTTCTGCCTCAGCCCTTGGCTTGTTGGGTGACATTGGGCACGTCATTCCACATCTCCAATCAGTTTTCCCATCTGTAAAAGTAGCATAATAATGATTATCTTCTTTACGCAGTTGTATAAAAGCATTATACAGAATCTGGTGGTAGAAGTTATTATTATTTACTAGTAACTGGTGATACCAAATGCAGGATTCAGCTTGACATTCACATCTCCACTAAGTTTGCAGGGCTGGCAATTTCAAATTAGCTGTAAATTGTGAACATTAGACATGGAAAAATTGGCAATGGGGATATGACTCTGCAATGCTATTTTACATACCTCTCAAGGTAGAATTCCACTTTGAATCAACCCTATTATTATATCTAGGACATTAAACCTAACTGGTATAGGAAGTTTAAGAGTGAAGCTTCCAAGTGTTCATTAACATTATCTATATTGTAATTCACTTTAGATGTGTGATTTTAACATTTTTTATTTGTCTCTCTTATTTGTTTCTCTTTTTCTTCAAGACTCTTGATCCATCTGAAAGCAGTTATGACTGGGTACTACATGGTCATTGTGTTTGAAAAAGTATTATAGTGGTTTTAGAAGAAACTTGGATTAAACACAAGAATATGTTACATCAGTGGAAAAAACTGGGAGCTTTATTTACTTCATACTTGTAATGCTTCACATTGAAGACAAAAAGGCACTGAGGCTCAACACATGCATGAAGAAACAATTTAGTTTGTATGGAATAAATTCAGGCAGAAAGCCATCTTTGAAAATTCATTGCCAAAGTTTTCAGTGGAAAGTTTGATTCTTGTCCTGTGCTCTTAGATATCCCCTTTGGTGGGGAGGATTTAGGGGTGCAATCCCTGGCTGTTGATGACCTATGGGTTAATTCTGCAGTTTATTACCATTCCTCTTGATGTCTTTCCACTTCTGTAAGGTGCAAGCTGCAATTTTTTATGCATTGGGAATTCTAGATTTTACTTAAGTATGGATATTTCTGTTTTCTTTGCAGGTACTTAGTATACTTAGATTGGAGTTACAGATTTTGCATGACATGATTTTTTCACCATACTGAACTTAAAAAAACCCCAACAGTTTGAAATTGAAAGCAGGCAGATGGTCCAGTTGAAATGTTTTGTTTTGTAGCAGCTAAGTTGTTTTCTTACTTTTTATTTATCCTTATAGATTTTGTTAAGGTATCAGAAAACCTAAGTCATTTGGTAACTGATTGGTAAAAAATTACATGGGGCCACATCATTGAGACCCCATGAACAGATTTTTTTTTAAAAAAGAAAATTGATTACTAACAGTGGGCATTTAAGATAAAAGTGTTTACTAAATGCAAGACAAATTTACAAAGTGCAATTTTCCTCTGAAAAGACTGAGTCATCTCATTTATGCAGGCCCCCATCTTGAGAACAAACAAGCAGTCCTTGACTTACAATGTTCTGAGTTACAACATTTTGCACTTACGACATTTATAAATTGACAGCCTGTTTCAACTATATGATGTCAGTTTCGACTTTACAACGCTTGATCCGATGCGATGTCACAAGTTCACTGTATTGCTTATCTCCCTGGAGAACATCTGTCCAAACTTCCTTGGACACTTTCTTTAAGAAAGCAGCCAAAACTTCAGAAAAACCTGCAGCCAAGACTCCTGAGAAGACTCCAGCCAAGAACCCTTCAAAAAAGTCCAACCAAGAGCCTTTCAAAAAATCCAGCAAAGTCATTTCAAGGAAGTCCTTCCAAATTGGTATGATTGCTATTTAGAATATAAATACATTAATGTAGCTATATTACTCATCTATAATTGATCAAATACAAAATCATGGGGTATTTTTAGTGAAAACAGGGTATTGGGCCTTGGTTCAGGAACCAATCCTGCATTTATAACATTGTTTCTTATGAGAAAATTGGTTCTGAGTTACAATGTTGGACTTAAGACACGGTTTTCAGGAACCAATTGTGTCATAAGTCCGAGGACTGCCTGTACTTGAAAAAATATACGTATTAGGGAAATGTAACCGAGAAAGCAGCAGCATATGAACTCCCAGTTATCCATAAACATTCTCTTGTGTAGCTGGGATGTGGATACGTTTGGCTTTCCTTACATCTTGTCTCTCTTGAGCTGGTGCTAGTGTTGATGGGAGTACTTCTGGTTGTGCTAACTAGATCCATTCAGTGTTAATAATACTTGCCTTTCACCTTGGGGTTAATGGGTAGGACATAGTTGGCCACAATCATTTGCCACAAAGGCCCCAGACGTATTGCCTTCAGTCTGCCAAATGTGTGCCCCACCAACCTCCTGTAACTGCTAAATATGCAACTGAATACTTTCCGCTGCTTTGTTGTCAGAGCACAGTTTAATGATTTGTGATGGGAGAGGATAAATGGGGTTGCTCAAAATGACAGTGAACACCACTACCCAGTTAATACCAATGTCATTAATAGGGCATAAGGTCCTAGGTTGTTTAAACATGTAAATTCCAGATAATTCTCTGTGTTACATGCCTTTCCCACAACATGGTAACATGTTGTCATTAATGAATCCGTCCTTGTGGGATACCAAACTATGCAGAGTCGGAGAATAGTTGCTGTTAAATCCTATGGCTCCTTCTGGTGGGAAACATGGACCATAGGATCATAGCAAAGTAGTGCTGGAAGGGATGAGCCTGTCTAGTTCAATCCTTTCCTCAAAGCAGGATCATCCCAGCCTATCTAACCTGCTGCAGAGGTGATTCCAGGAAATTTTTAAATGCAGGTTAGATAGACATTTGGCTGGAATAGTTTAATGAGGGGACTAGACTAGATGACCACATGAGATCCCTTCCCGGATACTAGATTTGCTGGAAGAAACTTCAGTGGCTTCAGTGTAGTCTTGGGACCCCATTCTCTGAAAGCTAGCTGTTCTTTCAGGGTTATTCCCACTACCAAGATGAAACAACTTTAGAATTATGTCAATAAATCCACCATTAGGAACTCACCTCAGTGAATCCCACAGATGTAGCAGTCTGGGGTAGGAAATTTCCAAATGGTTGCACCATTTCACAGCTGATATGACTTCCCTGGTATCAGAACATTGGGACAAGCCTCATACAGCAACTTGAAAATCTGCTTCCTCATGTAGAAATTCTTAGGCCACTGTTAGTAACCCCATCACTATCTTACCTGCTCAAGAAATGCCAGTATAAACAAAAGGCAAAGTGGGAGAGACACAAGTACATGTGATGTCTGGGGAAAATTACTTAAGGTCATGAGAGAATGTTGCACAATGCACTTCAAAATTGCTCTTAGGAAGCACCATTTAGGGTAGGACTAGGAAACCTGGAAATGTGACCCTTCAAACCCTGGGAACGGACATGTGCGCCAGGAATGAAACAGCGAGTAAAGTAGGATATAGTGCATGCAGATGTCTTGATTCTTTTTATTTTCCCCTTTCATTCATGACCTCACAGTCTGCCTGCTGTTATCCTGCCATGAACTTTAACTCCACATCTGTTTCACATTTCTTTATATGTTTCTACACACACACACACACACACACACACACACACACAAACACACACACACGTACATATTAGTACAGTACATATTATACAGTATACATATAATACAGTACATAGTACATGTACATATTAATACAGTACATATTAGAATCGGATTTTAGCTCATGTCAACCTACACGATGTAAATACAGGTTATTTTACAAGCAATGCATTCATATATAATTTATGTTTTTTATGAAAAATAACTCATGAATTTTATATGCACTGATATAGTTTTAAAAAATTGGCTAGCTCAGTTTTCTATAACTAAGCCTTTCCGAGCCAGTTCCTTTCATTTGCTCAGATTGCTAACACATAAAACTAATGTTCTGTGAAAGGTCTATCTAGGTAGATTTCTCTTCCTTTTGCCAGAACACAGCTTGGTTGGTGAGTCTGTTATCTGGCATTTTCAGATGCCACCTTCTTGCCGGTACTATTTGCACAGCTGTTGTTAACTTTGCCCACTCAAAATTCTTTATTCTCTCTGATCATGTACTTGGATAGGTAGCAGACATCCACACAGAAAGCTGTTGAACCCTGCTTGGATAAATTAGTTATTCCAAGACTCCAATCTCTATTTAAACATGCTTAAGAATTTGCTACTAAAAGTTTGCACCTGAGTGCTGATGCTGTGGATGTTAGATTTATATATAGGGGTGTACTTGCAAAAAGCAGTGCCTGCTTTGCTCACTCAAACTGCATTGCACATTATCAAATATGGCATCATAATTGTTACCCAACTCAGTCATTTTTTAAGAGCTGCATATGTGATAAATTATGATGCAGTGTGAAGAGCCAGAGGTGTGTTTCTCTGGCTGACCACACATGGGCTTGGGCCAGGGTGTAAATACCCTGAGTGGTAATAGTAGCTAAATTGTAATACAATGACTCTGTTCCAATCATGTCCTTTGTTCCTTAATGTGTTGTAGATGGAAGCACAATTGTTTGTGACTCCTTACCATAAATTCATGATTTTTGTGTAAGTAAATAGGGGAAAGAAACTTTAACAAATCTGTTAATCACTCCCCTCAAAATACAATTGTTCCATGCTGGCAAAGTACTAAACACTGCTGAAGTGTCTGTAGACAATAAATCACATAGGTTTGGGTCAGAGGCAAGGGAATGACACTATTATCTTAGAGACAGAAATACTCTGCATTAAACTTTTTACCTGCCAACAAAACAAAGTGCATTAAATGTTTTAGCCTCCAATAGGTGGGACCTACAGCAATTAGGGCTTCACTGACAAATGACAAATTTTATTAAAAAATGACATAAAGCTCCTTTTTCATTGTTGTTTTCTGCAAAATGAAAGCACCGTTTCTTTTCCAAAGAGCTAATAAATATAGAGTAAAAGCCTTTTGACAATGAGAGTAGTAACACAGGAAAAGGCAGGATTGCTCTCTTAAGAGCAATAATAAATAAGAAGTAATGGGAAATTGGAGGAGCCAGAAGATTTTGCTAATTAAGAGCTTACTCCTTCTATCTCACCAAAGTACTGCCATTTAATTTCTGACCCCTCTCAAACTCTTGCTGCTTCTGCAAAAGCAGGATCTTAATGAACACCTCTCTCCCACAACAGAGCAATTAAACTGTTTCAGTGAATTCCTTCTTCAGTCTTTCATGCATCATGTCTCTTCTTTATCCAAGCTTGCATGACTGACTTTTCCTCTGCTCTGCAGCTCCAGAGGCAGGACCAGGCCTGTCAGTTGTAGGAAGGAAGTTTTTCCTCTGGCTTCTTCTCTGGGTGCATCTACGTAAAATGCTTACTGCAGAGTTGCTTAACTAGCTCCACGGTAAAGTGTCACCAGTCTACATGTGCAGAGCTATTAGGCTGTAGTAAACTAATTAAGTTCACTGTAGGTTAGTACTTCCACATACAAGTACTATCCTATGGCAGAGTTATTTACTCTGCCACAACAGACGTGTAGATGTTGATGGGGCTGGCTGGTGCACACAGTTGCTTCAGTGCTAAAGCCTCCTGCCGGCTAGCCCCACA